TCAAAATTAAGTGCTTTAGTAGCCCAATAAGCTTTATGTTCAAGTTCCACAGGCAAATGACATGCTTTCCCATATACAAGCCGATATGGAGACATCCCAAGAATAGTCTTATAGGCAGTGCGATATGCCCACAGTGCATCTGAAAGGCGTAAAGACCAATCTTTGCGGGTTGGGTTTACCGTTTTCTCTAAAATTTGTTTTACCTCCCTATTGGCTAATTCAGCTTGTCCATTAGTCTGTGGATGGTAAGCGGTTGACACCTTATGAATAACACCATACCTGCGCATCAAGGCTTCAAAAGAACAGTTACAAAAATGTGTCCCTTGATCACTAATAATCACACGTGGTGTACCATACCTAGATAACACATTTTCTTTCAAGAACTTAACAACTACTTTGTTATCATTGGTACGGCAAGGTATAGCTTCAACCCATTTAGACACATAATCAACAGCAAGAAGAATATACAGGTAACCAAAAGAAGATGGAAATGGTCCCATGAAATCAATACCCCAACAATCAAAAATCTCAGTGACTAGAATTGGGTTAAGAGGCATCATGTGACGATGAGTTAATGCACCTAACTTTTGACACCTATCACAGGAACGACAAAAAGAATTAGTATCCTTAAACAAAGTAGGCCAATAGAATCCACATTGCAAAATTTTTGCAGCAGTTTTCTTCATCGAAAAATGGCCACCACAAGCTTTAGAGTGACAAAAGTTAAGGACATTATTAATCTCATATTTAGGAATACACCGTCTCATGATCTGGTCAGGGCAATACTTAAACAAATAAGGATCATCCCAATAAAAATTTCTTACCTCAACCAAGAACTTACGCTTATCTTGTGCACTCCAATCCAATGGAATTCACTAGAAACCAAGTAGTTAACAATGTGAGCATACCATGGAACTTGGCTAACAGTGAGCAAGTGTTCATCAGGGAAGTCGTCTCGAATTGGTGAACTTTCAATATTGGAGTCATTAAGCTCCAATCGAGACAAATGATCAGCCACCACATTTTCAACACCCTTCTTGTCTTTAATTGTGAGATCAAATTCCCGCAAAAGTAAAATCCACCTAATCAAACGAGCTTTAGCATCCTTCTTAGATAGAAGGTACTTAAGAGCTGCATGGTCAGTAAACACAATAATAGGTGAACTAATGAGATAACAACGGAATTTATCTAATGCAAAAACAACAGCTAGTAACTCTTTTTCAGTTGTAGAATAATTCCTTTGAGCACTATTAAGAGTTCTACTAGCATAATATACAACAAAGGGCTTCCCTTCCCTTCTTTGGCCTAAAACTGCTCCTAAAGCATGGTTACTAGCATCACACATAATTTCAAATGGAAGACTCCAATCTGGTGATTGTATGATCGGTGCGGTAGTTAATTTGGTGACAAGGGTTCGAAAAGCTTCTTCACATTTAGGAGTCCAATTAAACTCAACATCTTTGACTAGGAGGTTACACAAAGGTTGAGCTATGGCTGAAAAATTTTGAATGAACCTCCTATAAAAACCAGCATGTCCAAGAAAAGACCGAACATCTTTTACTGTTTTGGGTGTAGGTAATTTAGAGATCAACTCGATTTTTGCCCTGTCAACCTCTATTCATCTTTCAGACACAATATGTCCCAAAACAATACCTGACGACACCATGAAATGACATTTTTCCCAATTAAGCACAAGTCCTTTTTCCTCACACCTAATTAAAACAGTTTTCAAATTAAATAGGCATGAATCAAAAGAATCACCAAAAACAGTCAAGTCATCCATAAAAACTTCCATTATTTCCTCAACCAATTCAGAAAATATGCTAAGCACACAACGTTGAAAAGTGGCTGGACCATTACATAAACCAAATGGCATTCTACGAAAAGCATAAGTACCAAAAGGACATGTAAAAGTAGTCTTTTCCTGATCTTCTAAAGCTATCTCAATCTGATAATAACCTGAATAACCATCAAGAAAGAAATAGAAAGGATGGCCAGCAACACGTTCTAAAATTTGGTCAATAAAAGGCAACGGAAAATGGTCCTTCCTAGTGGCTGCATTTAATTTCCTATAATCAATGCACATGCGCCACCCAGTTACTGCCCTAGTTGGTACAAGAACTCCCTCATCATTTTCAACTACTGTTACCCCTGATTTCTTTGGCACTACTTGAGTAGGACTAACCCATTTACTATCAGATATAGGATATATGATTCCTACATCCAACAATTTCAAGACCTCTTTTTTCACAACTTCTTTCATTGTTGGGTTCAATTTTCTTTGAGGGTCTCTACGTGGGATAGATCCTTCTTCTAAATGAATCCTATGAGAACAAATCAACAGGCTTATACCTTTAATGTCAGCTATAGTCCAACCTAGTGCAGATTTATGTTCTTTTAATATATGTATCAATTTCTCCTCTTGCTCTGCACTAAGTTTAGAAGATATTATAACAGGAAAGGTATCACCTGGACCCAAGAATGCATGTTTCAACCCTTCAGGAAGTGGGGATAACTCGACTTTTGGTGTCTCTAGTGAAGATGGCTTTGGTTGTTCCCTTTCACATGGTAACTCCTCAAAGCGTGGTTGCCAAAACTTCTTTTGCTTATCCTGATCAGCATTAGAAATAAAAGAAACATTAGAAATACCATTATCAGGATAAAGCAAAAACTCAGAGTTTAAATCAAAATTATAAAGGAAGTGTTCTAAAGATTTAGAATTTCCCCTTTCTTGTACTTCCTCAACAAGTGAATCTATCATGTAGGAATGATAACATTCATCATCTTCTTGTGGTTGCTTCCCAACATGAAAAATATTCACCTCAAGAGTCATGTTCCCAAATGAAAGTTTCATCAAACCATTCCTACAATTAATGAGAGCATTAGCAGTAGCAAAAAATGGCCTTCCTAAAATAAGTGGAATTTTTGACTCACTATTAACTTCAGACTGAGTGTCTAACACAAGAAAATCAACAGGATAATAAAAGTTATCAATTTGAAGCAAAACATCTTCCACTATCCCTCTTGGTTTCCTACAAAAACGATCAGCCAACTGTAATACCACAAATGTGGGTTTTATCTCTCCAAGACCTAGTTGCAAATAAACTGAATAAGGCATTAAATTCACACTTGCTCCTAAATCCAAAAGAGCTTGACCGAACTCTTGTGACCTAATTTGGCAAGCAATTGTTGGGCACCCTGGATCTTTGTACTTTGGCAGTGTTTTTTGCTCAATTACCGCACTTACCTACTCTGTCAAGAATGCAGTTTTCTTGACATGGTGTTTCCTTTTTATGGTGCATAGATCCTTGATCACTTTGGCATAAGTTGGTACCTGTTTAATCACATGCAACAAAGGTAGATTAATCTTAACTTGTTTCAAATTTTCTAAAATCTCACCTTGATTGTCTGAAATCTTTCCAGATTTAAGAGCTTGAGGGAAAGGAACTCGAATTGGGACCTCCTTCTCAGGTTCTTCCAACAGGTCATCTTCACGGCTACTTGGAGTAACACCCTTCAATTTAGATGATTTTTGCAATGGCTCTATAACCTTACCAGTACAAGTAGTGATTGCATTGACCCCTTGAATGTTCTCCAAATTAGAGGTAGATTCCTACACCAAATGTAAACTTTTAGGATTAGCTTGAGGTTGAGATGGAATCTTACCTCGTTCTTGGATAGTAAGAGCATTGGTCAACTTAGTTAGTTGACTCTTGATATCCTTATTTTCTTCAACCACCTGTGTAAGAATAGAATCAAACTTTTG